TAAATATATATTCCAATATATAGATCGTATTTCTATACGTATTATAATATCATATTCGATGATCGTTTGTCCGTGACGGTTCGCATCAATATAAAATTCACGCCGCGGTATTGTTTTTAATATCTACGCGTACCAATTTGAATTATTTTTTGTAAAGTTACGGCTAACCTAAATATATGTATCATTGTATAAGTACATAGTATAAACTACAATATATGAAAATGCAGTTTCTATTCTTCAATGTATAGTAAAAATTAAAACAAAATATCAATTTTAAGTTTAGTTTTTGTACGTTATGTAGGTATAAATAAATAATAAATACTTATTTTTTTGTTATATAATAATATAATATACAAATATAATATGTACAATGTAGGTCATTTGTTACCCAATTTATTATTTTTAATTTTTTTATAATTTTCTATATATTCTCTGATGTGCGCAGGTTCATATATGTCGCTTTTCAACAATCGTTTACTATATTGAGTATCGATAATTTCCCGAAGTAAACATTCTTCGTAAAATCTATACAACAAACATTTTAGTAGTTAGCCTAAAATAATAAAACTAATTCAAAATTTTAATTTTTTTTCCATTGTTGTACTCCAAAAAATGATGACGTCATCATAGTGTATAATTTCTAAATGTGTCCATTCAGGTGTATAAATAAAAAAATAACACTTGTGACGTACTGTGATGTGCATTTGGCCCTGTATTTTAAAATAATAAAGATTGTCTTTCTTTAATTGATGGACACCGTTTATTTCACATATTTTGTAAGGAAGCTACAAAAAAAAATTGATTAGTTTTAATATTATTCGGTATTTAATATTCACACATTTTCCAAGATCAATGCTCATACACTGTTAATTTATTTGTTAACACATTTTACCAACAACGTTTTTTTTGAAGTTCTTAACCTTTTTTTCTTGTAAAGCTTGCTCCAAAGTGTCACTGGCTTTTACCGAATAAGGGCATTTTATTTCGGCGATTTAGTTGCTTCCAATTAAACCATCTATGATAAGGGATAACATTATATTGATACATAAAAAAACATTTATTTTATGAATGAGAATTAAGATAATATTTATGTAAATTCTGTTAGCGCTGTTAGAGTATTATATAGGTACCTGGTGTTGCTGCCAAATATGGTATGAACTTATCAATAAATAGGCCACATTTCTGAATTTTACAGTTTATTTTAAATTCTAGACATTTTAGTGCAGTTTCTTCAGTCTGTTTACTATAAATAAGTGATTTTGAAGTAGGGTTATTGTATAAAATATCATGAACCGTGGATTTGCATGATGTCTGAGGCCGCAGTTTGCAAATTCGACCAATTTCCAGGCAGTTTTCAAAAGCGGCTCGAAAACCAAAGGAAAAATTAAGAAAAAACGGGAATTTGTACGCAAAATCTGTTTTCGAAAAAAACGATTTTGGTTTTTGGTGTAAGTATAAAATAAATGGCCGTAGATACATGACATTTTCACTGGTTTTTTATATTTGCATTTTCTATACACGATGACATTTTTAAAATATTTTGATTTATTTTTAACTGTTTAGGGACATTTTCAGTTTAGAATTTTGTAAGTTTTTTTTTTATGAATATCAATAAAAATTTATTTGTTGAGTAAAAATACTTGAAAATTTAATACAAGGCTCCTACTATATTGTTTCAAAGGCAGATAAAAAATATTAAAAATCCTTAATCACAGTTTTTTTTTATAAGCATTTAAAGTTAAAAAATTGACAAAATATGGAAAAATCACGAAAATTTGCAAATTATTTTGAGTTAAGATTTCGTAAAAATTTTCCTTTTTAAATCTAAGATTTTAAAATGTAATATAAAATTCTTTATAAGATTATCTACCTTTATCAAAAAAAAATGTCTATAAGAAAGTCAAATTAAATTTTTAAAAGCGTTTGAAATTCAAATTTTTACAACAATGGATATTCACTCGATTTCTCATGTAGCGAATTCCTTATTTTGTTGTAATTCAAAAACGATTAACTGTAGATATATGAAAATTTCACTGTATGTTTATATTAGCATTTCCTATACACTATACAATTTCGAAAATATTTTGACTCTTTATGAGCTGTTTACGGACATTTTCAGTTTTCAAATTTTTTAGTCGTTTTTTTCTATAAATATCAGTTCAGTTTTATCTGTTGGGCCAAAAAGTGTAAAAATTTAATACAAGGCTCCTGATATATTGTTACAATATCAGTTGAAAAATATTAAAAATACATGTCCACAATTTTTTTTATAAGCATTTAAAGATCGAATTTTGATAAAATGTATCAAATTTAAAATTGAATAACTATTTTGTAGTTAAATATTTATAAAATATTCAACTTTTATAGCTAAGGATTGAAAATTTAAAACAAGAGTCCATGTAAGTAGTTAATTCTGTAACCAAAAATCTAAAAAATACACAAGCACAGTTTATTTTTATAGTCATTTTAAGTTCAAATTTGGACGAAATTGCATAATACATAATACGTAAAAAATCTGGAATAACTATCTGTTATTTTGTTGTGGTTGTATAATATCATTCGTGGGGACTTGAAACTTCTTATGTACGCTATTATATATCTATGATAGTATCAGAGTTTGTTTTTCATGTACCTATAACGCGTTATAAGTACCTAATGGATATTGTGATATCACATGATTAATTTGGAATTTATTATAGGTACCTATTATACCTAGGTCAATTTTTTTTAATACCATAGATAAGTATATAATATGTCTTATACCTAGACGATTAGACTGACATATCGTCCCCGCTCAGAATTAACGATTCGACTACCAAAATGTTCAGAAAAAAAAGCTTTACCAGAATCCATTAAAAAATATAGTGGTTACCATTTGAAAAAAAAAAGTTGATTTTGCTATTGGTACACCTGCGTGTTTAAAAATTTTGAAATTGTTATAAAACAATTGCTTGTTAAAAATAAAGAAACACGTCTTTTTTCGTTTTAACGAAATTCCATATCATCGTTCCGTAATCGTCAAAAAACCCCGCGTACAATGACATAAGATACACCCTGTATATTCCCCTGCAAGTATGCTTAGTTCTCAACCCCTCCCCCCTTTTATTTCTTTAACAATGCAGTTATTCAAAATCTAATTTTATAAATTATATACAATTTCTTGAGATTTTTTGTAATACTTAAAGTGTGGTGATACAAAATTCTGTTTTTCAAATGAAAACTCTTCTTATTTTTTCATAAATTAGTTAGTGTATAATTTTTTTTTAAATTTTGATACAGGTACCTAATTCACAACTTGAACGAGTAGTTTCCTGTTATCAAAATGTTTATACTAAGGGTAATAATAAAGTCCTTAAAAATTATTTCACGAAAACGTAAAATATATGTAATATTGTAATTTGCAATATACTAATATTGGATCAAGTATATTTTATTGTACTTAGACCATTTTAAAAAATTATAAATATTGATGGATTAATGTAAATTACTAGAACTTTAAAATCACCGTATCTCACATATTTTCCAAATTCATTATATCATTACGATAAACAACTCAAAACCTACTATTTCGAATTTTAATTTTGATTCGACAAAATGTATATACAGAAAAAAAAAGCTTAATGATTTACAATATAAAACGGGGGTTATCAAATGAAAAACAAAAGTTTGCATTATTAAAGAAAAAAGACAGGATAATGCTTGGTGAATCATTATATACCTATATACCAATATAATCTAAAGTGTCCGGTGGGGATGATTTTTCGACCACGGGCATCACCCCGCAACTGCGTTTAACAAAATGTATGATCGTAGGTATAAATAGTATAATCAATATAATAGGTATTATAATAAAAATTTGAAAATGTGCCATCGTTTAACAGATATCCAGAATCAAATACGTCCACCAATGCAAGCTGAAAAATGCAGAGACCTAAAACCAGAAAACATATTAATCGGAAGACCTAGGCAGACATTGCCGTTCAAAGAATCGGAAGAGGACATAATATACTTGATCGACTTTGGAATGGGTTGACAGGGTCACCAAAAATCACATACCATACAACATAGAAGTCGGCATATTTGGAACCTATCAATTAATTCATGAGCTCTAACAGTAATTTAAGTATAGGTAAGAATGTAAGATACCTAGATGTGAAGTGTATCCGTGTTTCGTGCATAATACATATTATATTATATCCATAATATTATTATAATAACATAATTCCAATTCCTTAATCATGAAAATATATAATAATATGCTTCCTATGGATGTTAAAAACGGTTATATTCCACTGGAACGTCTGAAACGGCAAATTATTAATATTTAAAATGATACGCATTTCAACCCATTACTTGTATAAATGCATTTCTATTATTATCCGCGCAGTAAATAATGGTACAATTGAGGCCAATTGATTAATTTAAAAAAAAAACTCATAAAGATATTCACACTGCATTTTTAATCAGTGCTCCTATTATAACTAGTGAACGGATTTTATTGTAAATACATATTTTTATTGGAATGAGATATTTTTAATCTGATAAAAAATGTGCACGATTCAGATCATTCTTATTAAAATAAGCCCAATTTTATTTTACATATTCTTACATATTTTGGTATAAATACATATTTTTACATATTTGGTAACATATTTTAGTACTTATTTTAGTGATTTTCAGTTTTTGACGACTTTAAACATTATCTGTTTCGTCTAAATTAACAAGATTAGTAATTTTTGACGACCACCAAATATTATCGTTATCTAAATGGCATTTACGTACTTATTTCCGGCACGTGGCATGCCACTATATAGATTAGAACTAGTTCAGTACCTCTTGTTAATGTCTGACGAATGACGATATAAATATAAAATAAGGAAGTGGTACCTACACTGTCGAGTATGTAGGTACTCGACAATCGTCTTTAGTATCATTCGTAGTTTCTATGCATTTAAAACGTAATTTCGTGTACTAGTCGACGTCTAGTTTATAATTTTAAAATGCCAAAAGTTGTGAAATCGAAATCAAAAGCGAATTTTTATTTAAAAGAGTTTCCTAACGAGACATTTAAAAGTGATGGAGAAATCTTATTCTGTTCATGCTGTGAAAAGGCAGTATCAATAAATCATCGATTTTTAGTTAGTCAACATATATCTACATCTAAGCACCAACAAAATAGGGATCGTAAAAAAAAATTTCAACAAAATTTCTTGAATTCAGAGCCACCTACGTCTTCCAATAATTTGTCAGCTTTTAATACCGATTTGTGTCTTATGTCAATACAAGAGTATTCTCCGACCAAACCGTAGAAATGTTTCATTTGCAAACCTTCAACAATATGTTGTTTCTCATTGCTTTGTTCCGGAATAATAGTTTTATATTCCTACATCGTTTGTAATACTTTTTTTTATAAAATATTTTTTTGTGTAATTTTCAGTACTTACTAATACATTTTTTCGATATACCTACATCGTTTGTAATACTTTTATTTATAAAATATTTTTTTTTGTAATTTTTAGTACCTACTAATACATTTTTTCAATATACATATTTTAAATTTTTTTTTACATATTTTAATAAAATTAATTACATATTTTGATTTTTTTATTACAATAAAGTCAGTTCCCTAATTATAACCTTTCCAATATTAATCAACATTATGTATCTACTACTTACTTATATTATAATATAAGGTATATAATAATAACGTGTCTATGCTTAAACCGTGTGCAGAACAAAGTCGCAGAGACGATTTGGAATCTCTTGGATACGTTCTACTGTACTTGGTCAACGGCACGTTACCTTGGATGAAATACTTTGAGGAAGACTATGTTCATGTGAAAAAGTGCGGAGATCTGAAAAAAAAAATCACAACTAAAACTCTTTGTGCTGATTTACCGGGTAGGACATAATACAGTTTAACAATTATCTCATATTCTCATATTGATATTTTATAACGCCTTGAGGACTGATAATTTTTTTTTTATTTAGAAGAGTTTGCCAAATATTTTGACTACGTAAAAAAATTGGAGTTCTTCGAAACTCCCGACTACGATGAGTTGATAGATCTTTTTCAAACCGTTTGCAAACGAGAAAAATTTCCCGATGACAATTTATTCGATTGGTCGACTGCATTATAGCAATACATAATATATACAAGTATATTGTATGACGTATACAAGTATGTATACAACATTTTTAGTTTTACGATGAACCATTTGGAACTTGCATTTCACGTGGACACGTGGTGGTATGTTTTCCAGTATATAGTTTTTGCTTTAGTTTATACTTTTACCGTATTTTATTTCTCATGAGTAGAACAGTCGTTATACAATAATAACCATAATAATAATGATATAAATTTGTAAAATGCGAAGTACCTAGAATCTAGATTGTCTGGACGAAGCAACCCCTTTATTTTATATTTAGTAAAATACATCAATAGTCAATACCTACGACCTCGTTTAAATACATTGTCACTATATTATTATGAGACTGTGTATAGTCATTATGATTTATGATGTATAAGTAGGATGATTATGTAGGTTCTGGAGCTCCTCCCCCTTAAATTTTACATGTAAAAGCATAGGCTCCTCTGTATAGGCAATTCGTAGTACAGGCTCCTCCCAAACTTGTATTAATTACTCAATATAGGCAACCCGCAACACATATAAACTCGTCGCAAGCCACCCGATCCGACACGTGACCGATATATATTTTATGCCTTCCCCTTCAAATACATTACCTCCCTTTTTATTTATCCCTTAAAAAAATATATATATAATATAAAATTGTTGTACAATAAAATAAAATGGTGTCGTGGTTAATTTTTTGTATGTAGTCAAAGAGATAAGATTTTTTTATTATAGATATTGTTGTTTCGTTTTCATAATCAATGAAGTATGAATATGCACTTTTGTCGTATTGTTTTTTGTTTAGTAAGAGAATCAAGTATTTTTCACAATGATTTTTTTATTGTTATAAGTCTGAAAACTAAAATGAAGGATATTTGAAATTAATAAAAAAGTGTTATATAAATGTGTGGCCTGAAAAAAAAAAGTAAAGTTAGGTTAGTTCAATGCTATTAATTTAATACTACTTTATAATAGTACATATAGTAATATTACTACTATTGTATTTTAGAGCAATGATTACCGTTGAATATTTCATGTTTTTGGTATGATCATTTTGCAACTTTATTATACCCAAAATTAAAACGTCGATAACATCAAAGGTATTATTATTATGCCAGATATCATTAGTACTATAACTAAATGTTTTTTCATCAATTATAATGTTTAAAAATTCTTTATTTTGGTCTTCTCTGTAAAATATAAAACATATACAATAAATATATTTTAAATAGGCAAAAAAAAGTGACAGGGTTAAGACTTACGTTATTAAATAAATATCAAAATATAAATTTTTTGAGATATTTTGTAAATTGACACACATTTTATTAAAACGTTGTTCAATAATTTTATAATATATAATGTCGCAATTATCAATATGGGTCATATTGTCTTCCGAGAACAGCCATATGTAACATATAGTAATTATGTACATAATTGTACATTTTACAAATGAATTTATAATGTTTTTTAAAATATATCCAATATTAGGATTTTGTTTTCTGAAAATATTAAATACCAATTAAATACAATAATGTATACATATTAATGTATTTTATGAATGTGTATATTTACTCATAATTGTATGCTGTGAAATCCGGAAACATGAACATTGAATACAATTGTGTATGTAACGTCTTCATTTTACTTGGTAAAAAAATGTAATTTTCAAACATATATTTTCAACAATGTCCCACAATTTTTGGGTAATGATGTTGTCTTTTAACAGAATTAATAATTTATTTAATTCTTGTCCCATCACAATTATATTATTTGTATTATAATCTGCATTATACGTTGTTGTTAAATTTGTTGTACTTTTCGCAGAACTGTAAGGAGTATTAATTACAAATTAAAAAAAAATGTTCGATCTTTAATTTTTTTACCAGTACTTACTTAAAATTATCAATACCGATAAGACTCTTAAAAGTTATACTGGACACAATTGTTTTTATTTCATTTTTGTAAACTGATTTTTTTTTTTTTTACTGTTTATATATATGTATATTATCAGCAATAAGGAAATCTATTATTGATTGGTCATCAGCATTAATATTAAAATTTGATTTTACTTTATTAAATATCGAAAGATGTCTTGAGGTTTTCGAACAGCCATTAAATGTGTCTAAATTAAAAAAAATTGTTTGTGATTGGTTCTTTAATATGTTGTCAATTTTGATGTTGAAAAATCCTGATGCAAACAAAGCTGGTTGTAAAATTGAAGAATTGACTTTTGTATGCCCCATACTTCTAACGGACGCGATTATTTTTGCGACGGTCATTATTGATTTCTTTTGAAAATTAATAATATTTTATTATTTGTAAAATGAGTAGTATACATTATTATACTTACATCGCTATGGCGTGAATGCAACACAATTCTTTGCGTTTGGATTTGCCTTGTCCTATGTCTTTTTTTAGGGGCGGACTGGCCCAGTATGGGTTGTCTACTCATCCATCGCCTACTGCCCTGTCGGCTGAAATATTTCATGTTTTTGGTATTATAATTTTGCAACATTATTATACCAAAAATTAAAACTTCACCTTTTATATATAATTTATTACCTTAAATAAAGATTGTCCGTATGTGGTCTACTATGGTTATAGTGATGGGCATTATTGATTGACCAGTGTGGTTACTGGAAATAACGCAGCAGCTGTTTTCCGTAAATAATAAAAGTGATACAACATACGAATTGATTAAGAAACTTACAATTACTAAATTGTCCAATGTTTTAGTTATTAAAGTACTATTTGCATGTCTACCGGGTGATTGCGGCTTTAAATCGCGAATTTACGTAATACTTACGACCCCCCGCACACATAACTTCCCCGCCCGAAAACTTCCAAGACATTCATTTCCGCAAAATTCGAAAGCTGAATCGTAATCAGCGGCACGAGCTCTACAGAATTGCAGTATTACATTGTTAAGTATCGAAATATAACGTACTGTAACATTCCCAAACCATTGACAAAAGGGCCGGGTGAGATACTAAAACATAAACGTAAAATATAACGTACTGTAATATTCCCAAACCATTGACAAAAGTGCCGGGCAAGAAATAATATCGTTTTAGTATCTCACCAGTCACCCGTTTTATTTTTGATGCAAACCATTATTTAAAGTGGTTTAGGGCTGGGAAGAGATCTGTGGTGTGGGGGGGGGGGCGGTAATACCTCTTTGAACATGTATTGCATTTGTTCAGCAGACGGGGAGGGAAGTAATATGATACACACCCATTATTATATTAATATAAATAAAAGAAAAATAATATTATATATACTATTGACTTTTACCTTATAACCATAACAAGTTTTTTGCAATCGTTCCACACCGCCCTAGGGGCCATTGCACATGGTGCGTTTTTTTTTAAGTGGTGGTCGCCATGAGCCCTAATCCACTGTTTTACTCTACCTAGTTTAAAGTTTTTTAGTTTAAACCACATGAGTATGAGAAACTACACAAAATTCAAACCCAATGAGTCAGTATTAAAAGAAATTCAGAATATCGTATATTATACATGTTATAAATGGTGCCATTCAAAACGGGATCTTGACGAAGATATATTGTTTTTTATAATATAAAAGACATCACGTCATACCTCAATATTGTTTTTGTGTACCTTTTTGTTGCAAGAAACCAACGTGCAATGGTCTCATAAGAAATTCCGCTCTGAGTCTTCGACCGTGCCGGTTCGGCGTCTCATATACTTTTAAACTCTAAAGATGGAACGTGCTGGGACACTGCCAGCACCATCGCCAACACTGAAGATACCATGATAATAGAAAACAGAGGCCGACAGAGAAACGATCAGGAACGATATAATACCTAATAGTATCGCAATGGCCAAGTTTTCTATATTTAATTCGTAAACATTTGGAAACTACTGTTTGTCACACTCACAAAACGTGATCGTCTAATGTTTATACCTTATTTTTTACTATAATATTATTGATCATTAAAATGTACTTACCGCTAAGTAGGTGAAAATGAGAAATTAGTAAAATACTGTAATGCAATGAGTAAATTACATAATGACTAGGCCAAATCTACTAACTAGGATATGGCGGTTGAAATTGATAAGATGTAACGGGGACGCTGATAATTGATAAGCTTTCAATCACCAATAGACGATACTACGGTTTAAGATATACAACCTTGGATACACAAAATAATGTTTAGTTCTAGTAAACAGAACCGTGGTTGACTTTGTTTATACTTTTGTCGATCGTTATCACGATTTACTTTTTATGTCATACACCACCGGGGTTTAACAAAATACCGCACTAAACGAAGCGCTCACGAAATTCTACGTTTTCAACGTTTCAAACGTTGGCTTTCGTTCTGCAAAACTTTGCCGCTCCAGAATTTCCTCTATGCATTATGCATTTTATCGTAGTAATCCTGCACCAATTGCGACCGCGGCTTAAATACACTATATTTTACGATTGTAACAACGGCGCGATGCTGGTGTGGTCGGTATGAATACTGTCTGCGGGCAGAGTCGACCAGGGTTCGAATCTCATCTACTGAAAGAATTTTTCCAAAAAGATTACTTGAGAATTGTAGTAATTTTTCATAAGCGTTTCTTTCTTCCTCCGATTGCGAATAAACAATTATTTAGCACACCAGCGTACCAAAAGTACTGCTGCTAGACCAATACCGCTTGTAGCCGAACATTTTTTTTTGAATAATGGGACAGCCGATCTCATTGTGCAATCTAATGGTACAGGTTTCAAGTCGATCCCACAATTATTCGGTTTTTAATTAATTAATTCATAATATATTTGCACGGCATACGGGTGATTGCACGGCGATCGGGCACACTCCAGCCGTCCGCTATTGGACAACGAGATTTTAAAGTGTTATACACAAAAATCGCAGGTATGGTAGTCTGGAACGTGTGTAATCGAATGGTACAGGTTTCAAGTCGATCGCACAATTATACGATTTTTAATTAATTTTTATATCAAAATTTTCACAACCTCCCGGTGACTGCAGGGAGATCGGCCCAGACTCCAGCCGTCTGCTCAGTGCATACGGGGTTTTTGATATTTTTACATGTTAATAGCAGGGATGGTAGCTTAAGACGAGTGTATTCGAATGGTTTACGATTCACGTCGGTAGTCCTATTATTCGATTTTTAATTATGTTATTAAAGTACTATTTGCATGTCTACCGGGTGATTGCGGCTAGGTCGGCCAGACTTCAGCCGTCAGCTCGCTGTGTAAAGGGTTTTTATTTTTTTTACATGCAAATGACGGGGAGGGTACCTAGAGACGTGTGTTATCTAATGGTAAAGGTGTCGACTCGGTCGTCCTATTATTCGATTTTTAATTAAGTTATTAAAGTACTATTTGCATGTCTACCGGGCGATTGTGGCTAGATCGTCCAGACTTCAGCCGTCAGCTCACTGTGTACAGGGTTTTTATTTTTTTTACATGCAAATGACGGGGAGGGTACCTAGAGACGGGTGTTATCTAATGGTAAAGGTGTTTACCTGGTGGTGCGTTTGGCACAGGTGGAAGGGGGATATCTATAGGTTTATAATTCATTAAAAATCGAAATATTGTACTACGACTTAGCCAAGCACATCTGCCGCTGAAAATCGATTTTTGGAATTTTTTAAAACACGATTATATGTAATTTAGTATGTTTCAGCGATACAATGAGATCGCCGTCACCGTGATATTTGTAGATAACGGGAATTATCAAATTTAAAATCTATGAGTTGGTTCCACTGGCCGGGTGAAAAACGGTTTCTAATTATGTATATAATTTTATTATTAAATATATATTCAAAGCTATTATCTATTATCTATTAGCTACGTGATTGCTATCATGATTTCTCCAGTATATACATAATCTACTAATTGTAGATGTTCAATAATGGTATGTGCACATTAAAATGATGAGACCATTGCACGTTGGTTTCTTGCAACAAAAAGGTACACAAAAACAATATTGAGGTATGACGTGATGTCTTTTATATTATAAAAAACAATATATCTTCGTCAAGAGCACGTATTGAATGGCACCATTTATAACATGTATAATTTACGATATTCTGAATTTCTTTTAATACTGACTCATTGGGTTTGAATTTCGTGTAGTTTCTCATACTCATATGTGATTTAAACTAAAAAACTTTAAACTAGGTAGAGTAAAACAGTGGATTAGGGCTAATGGCGACCACCACTTAAAAAAAACGCACCTTGTGCCATGGCCCCACCTAGGGCGGTGTGGAACGATTGCAAAAAACTTGTTATGGTTATAAGTAGGGCTAGGGACTTATAGGAGATTGCATGTTTTTCAATAATCATTCAAAACATAGCTAAGTAATATAGAAATTTGTTTCATAGTACTAGGAGTTTAAAGCAATCAGTTTTATTTTGCATATTTTGCATATTCAGTTGTTTTTCCCTATAAGAGCATATTTTGTTGTATTTTTATTTTAAGTGCATATTTCACATATTTTATTTAAACAAAATGCAATACGGAGAAAAATATTTTATACATAGGTAGTGGTAGGTACTTACTATAGAATATTTAATATATGAATTTTCTAGAAATTGGATAAAAATAGATTAAAATGATTAAATAATCGCTATACCGTGTATTTTCCCAATTATTTGTGTGTTGTGAAATCGGTCGATAAGGAATACGCCGAATACGGTCAGTTGATGTCAATAATTACGAATTATTCGTCTATTCGTATCGCATGTGTGTTTGTCTTGCGTAGTTGCGTCTTGTGTGAATAAAAGTTTAAAATTAAAGATAAAAATGCCTAAAGTAAAGGCAAATACATCTATTCGCCTACAGTCGTATGTTTCAGAATTCGGTAGTTCAGTGTTTTTAGTTGATCACTCAGTGCTGTTTTGTAAACTTTGTGAAGTTAAAGTTAGTGCTGAAAAACGTTTTACTGTATTGCAACACCTTAAAACCGAAAAACATATCAAGTCAGTAAACCGTATTAATAAATCAAAAAAAAGTCAATAGCTTCTAGAATTTAATCCGCCAACAAAAAAATGTCAGTTTAACAAAGATTTATGTGAAGCTATGTTATTTGCTAATATTCCTTTATACAAAATTTAAAATTTAAAATTTAAAGCATTTTTGCAAGAATATACAGGAAAAGAAATTCCAAAAGAGGCCACTCTTCGCAAAGGCTATGTAGATGACTGTTATCAAGATACTTTAGCAAAAATACGAAATTGCGTATCAAATAACAAAATATGGGTATCTATTGATGAGACGACCGACGTAGAAGGCCGCTTCGTAGCCAATGTTATTATAGGAATTTTACGTACTGACGGACCAGGTGAGATATTTTTGTTAAATACAGAAGAATTAGAAAAGGCAAACCATCAAACTATTTTTAAACTTTTTGATAAATCTATGAATATATTATGGCCACAAGGCGTACATCATGATAACGTTTTGTTATTTTTGTCGGACGCTGCGCCGTATATGGTGAAATCGGGAAAAGCAATTCAAGCACTTAATTCAAAGATGGTACATGTCACATGTATAGTACATGGATTTCATCGTGTGGCCGAAGAAGTACGTTCATATTTTAACATAGTTGACCAACTTATATCTAGTGTAAAATAAGTATTTTTGAAAGCACCATCTCGATCTCGTATATTTAAAAATGAAGCTCCTGACATCCCAATGCCACCACAGCCAATTTTAACTCGTTGGGGAACATGGTTGGATGCAGCTAATTATTATTGTGAAAATTATGAAGTCATAAAAAATATTATAATATAAACAAGTTAGATGAAAATGACGAGAGCAGCATCAAAAAAGCTAAAGATATTTTTAACAACCCAGATTTGAAAGCAAACTTAGCATTTATTTCTTCAAACTATAGTTTTCTTTCAACTTATATTACACGTATGGAAAAACAAAACATGATGCTTTCTGATTCTATTTCCGTCGTAAAAATTGTTAAAGAAAAATTGCAAAGTACACAAGGAGAAAAAGGAAAAGCTATTTACAAAAAATTAGAAAACGTACTGTCAAAAAATAAAGGATTTGAAATTATTGAACAAATTTCAAATATTTTAGAAGGCATAGACAATTCTATGGAAAATCTTGAAGACTTAAATGTAAACGACTTAAAGTTCTATAAATTCGCCCCAGTAACTACTGTTGATGTCAAGCGTTCGTTTTCGAGATACAAAAATTTATTGGCGAACAATCGCCGCTCATTCACTTTTGAAAATATAAGAAAAATTTTAGTGACACAATGCAATTCATTTGGGTAAGATTTATAAAAATATTAAATTATAAAAACAATATGCATTTATATTTGAAATATTTCTTTTTTTTTTCTGTTACAGGCAAGTTTAAATAAGAAGCAATCAAAATAATAATTAATAAATAGTAATATATAAATAAAACTATATAAGTTTATAATATATGTTTTTTTCGAAAATTAAAAAATTTTAAGAGCATATTTTAAGAGCATATAATATGATCATTTTTAAGTGCATAAATGCTTGCATATTTTAAGGTTTTATAGGGCATGAAGTCCCTAGCCCTAGTTATAAGGTAAAAGTCAATAAAAAGAGTATATAATATATTTTTTTTTTTATTTATATTAATATAATAATGTGTGTGTATAATATTACTTCCCTCCCCGTCTGCTGTACAAATGCAATACATATTCAAAGAGGTATTACCGCCCCCGCACCGCAGATCACTTCCCAGCCCTAAACCACCTTAAATAATGGTTTGCAATGAGCAGAAAAAATTTCAAAATTATCACAGCATCGAACTCTATACGATGATAAGTTTGAAATGTATGAAATCTTTGGAGAAATTTAGTAATAATTATTGAAATAAATATTGTACTGATGAATCTTGTTTTTTACCGTCGATTGCACAATTATTCGATTTTTAATTTATTTATAATCACATCAAATTTAAAAAGTTTATTACATTTTGTTCATAGTTCCGTATTTTTCGCCGCAAGTATTGTGAATTTTTATGTGCGGGTATAGCTTTTAATGGTTTAAACTTGCCATTCGGGAATTGTGTGGTAAATGGTCGTAAATCGCTTCTCTCGTATAAGTATGGTCTATCGCCGTGTTCTCCTGGAAATTTTACATAAATATCATGACCATTCACCAAGTCAATTATTCCTGCATAGTACGGCATACCTCTTTTCGTTGCGTTCACCGCCATTTCTTTGGTTAGTCGGTTTATTCGCTAAGCATATAATACATTATTGAACACCTACCATTGTACAAGTTTTTTTATAATAACTTACCCATTCACATAGGGATTCACTAGTTACTAGTAGATGGTTCACGCTCCCTAGAACAGCCGGCTTCTGGACTGCCTGATTTTGTACACACTATATTATCATTATCTACAGATGTTGTTTCTTCTTGATATAGAGGCACCTGCCGACGAGTTACAGTTGATGGGCTCGTAACTTTTTTAGGCACATAAGTAGGTGTTTCACGCTCCCTAGAACAGTCAGCTCCTTCATTCTCTGGACATACCACGATCACGTACTCGCAAACCACCCGGGCTGGAAAGAAACGTACAGGGCGGTCAAACAACGTTTTTTTTGGAAAGGACAAAAAAACGACATCCGACTGTACGTTAAGTCGTGTCACATATGCGCGTGTACCAAACCACTAAACACGCGCGCAGACGGCCCCGCGACCACCAGAATACCCCGACACCCCTGGGAGGTGGTTAGCATAGACCTCATGGGCCCCTACCCGCGCACGAGTAGGGGAAAACAATATATACTGGTCGCCATGGATTTGCTTAGTAGGTGTACCGAGGCATACCCCCTCGGAACAGCCACTACAAAAACAATAACCGAAACTCTCGAACGAGAATTCTTTTCACGTTTCGGATACCCCCGTGTGTGCTTAAGCGACAACGGCCCACAGTTCGTAGCAAACGATATGCGTAAAGCGATCGAACAGTGGGGAGCCGAGGGCTGGACAACTCTGGTATATCACCCGAGGGCCAACCCAGTCGAACGCCATAACCAGGAATTAAAAAAAGGTCTACGCGCGCTACTCGCCAATGGCAACCACAACACCTGGGACACCAAATTAGCCTCCCCATACTTTTTTCGATCAGGAACAGGCGCAACGACCGGACAGGATATCCACTATCAGTACTCGTCCTCGGGAGAGAGGGCAAAAGGCCGGGGGGACTGGATACTGTCGCGGACAGCGGACAACCCGATCGAACAAATAAATATGGACAGGGCTAGGCGCGAAAACAATGTACTTACCGCACCACCGGCAACAGGTGGCCCGACGGACACAAAGTTTTGTACAGGTGACACGGTGTACTACAAGGCACACCACCTGTCAAGTGCGCACAAAAAGTTTCACGCCGGCTTCGCACCGAAATGGTGCGGACCGGTGAAACTACACAAACGCGTAGGCAAAGGTGTGTTCATCACAGACCAACAGCCAGCATGCAAACTACACGTGTCCTGCCTCAAACGGGCGAACACAGCAGAGCCCCAACAACCCCACCCAACCCCCCCAAACCATGAGCCCACAATAGTATTTTTGTGTACTTAATTTCAGTCGGCACAGCACCACACAGCGATATGGAGCACCAACGACCGCCAACAACCACCACACTCCAACAAGCGGCGGAACTGCTTGAACGCAGCCAGTAGCTGCTGAGGGCAGTTACCTTGGAAGAGGCCACAACTACCACCACGGCGGCCAGGGTACGGCGGATGACCACCACGGAACTCCAGCAGGACCCAGTACTGTGGGCCGCCTACACGCGGGGGTGGGAGGACCGCACCACGGTGTTCAAGAGGGCAACAAGCGGCGCACCCACACCGGCAACACGGCACACCAGGTCGCGTAGCCCCAGACGAGTGGCTCAGCCTCCGGCCAACACCCGACCCGCCACCAACACTCGCCAGGCGCAACCACTGCCGCCAACGCGGGCACCCGAGAGGCCACCACCCCGGCCGCTGATGGAGAGGCCAGTACCGGCGCCAAGGACAGCGACCAGGCCACCACCAACTTCACCTACAGCCACGCTGAACGCCCGCCGAACGTCGGAACCTGCAGCGGAAGCGGGACTACAAGGCCAAGCTCCAACAGACGTCCCAGCAACACCGCCTGGAAAAACCGGCACCACCCGTAACCCCAGCCCCAGAGACGGTGCTGTCACAGCCAGGGCCTGCGACCCCACACCTCACCGTGGTCAAGGTGCCGGAAGTGACACACACTTCCGGAGCAACCGGAACCACGGAACAACCCTCAAACCGAGGATATGGAAATATCCCCGGAGGAAATAATATGTATCGTTGTGAGATCCGAAATAAAAGTGAAAATTATGTATCGTTGTGAGATCCGACATTAAATTGAAGTATTAAATAATATGTATCCTTGCGAGATCTGACGTAAAATTCAAATATCTATTGAATAATATGTATCGTTGTGAGATCAGACGTAAAATTAAATATGCAGTAGAAAAGTATGTGTCGTTGCCAAATCCGGAATAAAGCATAATATATTATATTATACACGATTTAGGGAATTAAAGTAAAATCTGCGTCAGAATGTCCTTAGGTATATAATCTAAAAAAATAGGAATTTATCAAAAACAAAAAATGCAAGTCAAAGTTTTGATATAGGTACCTATGTTATGTATGATTCTAAGTATTATTCTATACTTAATATTATAAAGAGGAAAGATTTGTTTGTTTGTGACGAATGAACTCAAAAACTGGACTGATTTCAAAAATTCTTTCACCATTATAATGCTACATTATCCCTGAGTAACGTAGGCAAATTTAAAAAGGGTAAATGTGAACCCGGGAAGGTGCTCAAACAGGGATTTTGAGATTTACTACGGTGGACAGTTTTGTTTATAAAATAAATGGTTGCTGTTGGTTATAGGAGAAATTGCAAATCCGTATAGGATAAAATAATAAAATGCAATGTTGAAAATATTAAGCGATCCACATCAGCCAAGTCTATCTCACTAATAGTTTTGAAATTTAGTACATAGGTAATTCTGTACAAGAGGATAACGAGCATCTCGAAGCCAATTTTTAAAATTTTCCAATTTAAAGACTGTTGTCCCAAGAACCTACACAGGCACATCATAACACCGTGTTAATAAAGCATTCGTAATTACGTAATATAATTATATATTCAAGATAATCGATGAAAATGTTTAAGTTTAGTACATCGTCATCATACACCAATATTAAATAAACCTCGAAAAAACGAATTGAACAAAGTTTGAATCATATAGCGTTGGTACATATTTTAACGGGCAACGAAGTGAACGGGATCAGCTATAATAGGTATATATAAAATTAATGCGTTTTTGAGTCCATGAACTTATAGGTACTTTTTATATTGCCAATGTAAAAAAAAAGGCGGGTAAGTGGATGTCGCTCTGCTGTACAGTAGATTACAAGTGGGTCACCGTATAATGGATGGTATTAAATTTGAATTCAATGATATATAGTATCATTGTATACGAAAAACGATTCTGAGCGGTGACGGTTTGTCAGTGTGGATATTTTATATTATATTTATATTTTTATTACTTATTATTAATACGGTAGCCGGTAAGTTGAATTAATATTATAAAATTACAACAAAATAACTAAAATAGTTATTCTTGGTTTTTTAATATGTAATTTCATACAAATTTTAACTTAAAATAATTTTAAAAATAAACTGTCCTCATATATTTTTTAGATTTTTAGGCTACAGTATGAACTATTTATGAGAATCTTTTTTTTTAATTTTCAATCCTTAGCTATAAAAACTGAACATTTTATAATTTATTAATTACGATGATTGACAATTTTCGAGATTTTGATAAATTTTGTCAAAATGCGATCTTTAAATGCTTATAAAAAAAATTGTGCCTATGTATTTTTAATATTTTTCAATTGCTTATTGTAACAATATATCAGGAGCCTTGTATTAATTTTTTACACTTTTTGGCCCAACAGATAAAACTTAATTGATATTTATAGAAAAAAAAACTAAAAAAATTAAAAACTGAAATTGTCCGTAAACGGCTCAAAAAGAGTCAAAATATTTTCAAAATTGTATGGTGTATAGGAAATGCTAATATAAACATTCAGTGAAATTTTCATGTATCTACAGTAATTCGTTTTTGAATTACAACAATATAAGAAAATCGGCACATGAGAAATGGAGTGAATATCCAATGTTGTAAAAATTTAAATTTCAAACGCTCATAAAAATTTAATTTGACTTTCTTATAGAATTTTTTTTTTTGATAAATGTAGGAAATCTTATAAGGAATATTGTATTACATTTTCATACCTTAGATTTAAAAAGAAAAATTTTTGACCTCCCCAATGCACCAACTATATTCACTTTCCAATCGAACAAGATACTGAAGTTGAAAATCGAAGCATTATTTCGACTACTTATCGTGTACACAGACACAAAAAAAATAAAAAAAAAAACACACATCATTGTAAAATCAATACATTCATCGTTCCACTCAGAAACTAAAATAAAGGTAACTTTTAACCACGGCCTAACCTTATTTATTTTTCTGATTTTTTTTAGATTCTGAGTGGAACGATGAATGTATTGATTTTACAATGGTGTGTTTTTTTTAAATTTTTAAATTTTTATTTTTATTTTTTTTGTGTCTGTGTACACGATAAGTAGTCGAAATAATGCTTCGATTTTCAACTTCAGTATCTTGTTCGATAAGAAAGTGAATATCATTGGTGCTTGGGGAGGTCAAAATTTAAAATTCCCAGTAATTTTCAAAAGCGCAAAGAAAAACCAAAGAAAAATTAAGGAAAAACGGGGATATCATAAATAAATGCTAAGTAAACTGAATTTAAGTATATTTAGTCTGTTTCGATAATTTATTTACTTGGCGAGGAAATATTAGTACACAGTGTTATTATTGGTTGTAGAGTATTATTTTGATTAGTATAGAAATGTTCGCTGTAATATTTTTAATTTATAATGTCTTATTGTCTAATTATTCATCCAGCACCACGGTTCTTATATTGTATCGTGTGAAGTAAAAAATTTCCTCGCCAAGTAAATAAATTAACAACATCCTATGCGGCTATGCCCTATACCTTTAAATATAATATTATTGATACATTTGTCCATGTCTTAACACGTAGTTTTACGCGCCCTCATAATATTCATCGGCCGTATAATATAGTATATACCTACCTATATATACATACGTGCAGCGGACGGCTAAAAGTAACTTGCTTTGATTGAAAACCTGTCTGTCGTCGTCGTGGTATGGCACGCTGGAACGGGGGTAACGCGGCAGTTTTCGTATTCCGGACATATTATTATACGACAATATTATATTGCAACAACAACAAATCAACAACATACCAGCGGTTTAATACAGATTCAAAAGTTAAAATTTTAATACCTCTTGTTAAGAGGACGTTATCCATGTATTTGTTGTCTTCGTCTTATACACGTACGACATGGCAAATTTTCTTACACTAGTTTTAATAGTGTGCTGTTCATTTTGATATTAGAGTGAATTGACCTATTATAAAACGTTTAGTTAAGAACGTTATCTCTGCTTAAGCGTTAGTAAATTTTCGATATTTTCATTTTCAACCAAGATATATGTATGTAAAATATCAAAAATTAAAAATGCTCAAACTCGTTTGAAAATTAAAATATCAAATTAAAGCAGTTTTTATTTAAAAATTGTATGATAGGTAAATTCACTCTTATATTAAAACGTTTCAGTTTAAGCCCCTCTAAAACGTACTCCCGTAGTTGGGGGTCCTCGATCCCCCCCCATAGGTGTATTTTGGAAAACGTTCAGTTTTTGTACGACGTTTCTGAAACTCAATATTTGGGTAGATTGGAGGTCGGTTATCAAATTCGGCGTCTTGTGACATGGCCGTAAGAGTGGTATTTCTACGTCTTCTGGGGCTTACTGTAGTGAAATTTCAAATAATAGAAATCATGCATTAAGCGGGCAGTTGTTTTAAGCTAATATAAAGTTATATATTCAACAACAACTCTAAATTAATGAACACCAGTAGTTTATACTCTGCTGTTCTATGTTGTGTTTATGTACAATAATTTAAGTTTACATAAGTTGCAAGTGCAATGTACGTTAGGTTAGGAGGTCACAGTGAGGTAAGAAAACCAAAAAGAACTTTACAATTAATACAATAGTTGAAAGAATATAATGTGTTAACTTATAGAAAAATGCATTTTGATAATATACCTGTCTATTTCATTTCCGTTCCATAATTCCATGGTCGCAGCATCGTGCCCTTTATATACGTATTTATACAAATACTGAACACTCTTCACAGTAGAGCATACCTCAACATTAATGTGTGCATCGTATTTTGCTAAAAGGTACGGATTGCAAACGCACGACAAACTCGTTGCTGACCTGTTGATTTCTGACCCTGGCCACAGGTCCGTTGTTTGGCCGATAGTACTTTGGGTAACCACCGTCAGAAATGTATACAGTCTCTTCGCTGTATTCTTTTGGAAACTTCTTTGAACAACTGTTGTCCACCATGCATGGGCTGTTTGGGTTCAGCATGCCACACGGCCCGTGGATCATGTGTCTCGTCACACAATCGAAGAGCAGTCTCCGGGTCTGGCAAGAAGGCACACACTACATTGTCGACGTCGTCGGCAGTTAGCAACTTGCTACCCTCACTCAGAATGATCAGTATGTGGGCGTGCGGCAGTCCTCGTTTCTGAAACTCGACAGTATAAACATATGCATCGACATTACCAAATATATTGTTCACCGTTATGTCGCGCATCAGCTGCTTGAGTTTCGCGTTGAACACTCTGGACACCAGATCCGGTCTGTCGGTTGCCGTGGTCCATCTCGGTAGGTTCTCTGTGATCTCCGGCCAGCTAGGATTACACGTAAACGTAATAAAAAGATTAGGTTTTCCACACTTACTCACAATGGCCATCGCGTCATGATAACACTGTTTCATAAAACGGGGACCACCTGTGAACGACGATGGAAAAATCATCCTACGGGTGACGCCCGCCACGGGTGCGTCAATTCGGAGCTGTTGGTTGATGTGATCCACAAGTCCCTGATACGATTCTGCGAAAAGCTCAGCTTGATGATATCTTGATGATAACGCAATTTAAATAAGTTATACTTTATGTTAAGTGTAGTGCCTATGGTAAGTATAAAGTGAGTGTGGCATGAAATAGTAAGATTGGTTGTAAGTTAGTGATGAGTTAAAAATGAGTTGTGACAATGCAATAGTGTAGTGCAGTGGTTTTCAACCTTTTTTTGGGTCGCGACCCCCCATTTTTATTTTTTTTGTACTGCGACCCCCTTCAAAAAAAAATGTTGTTTTATTCATCAAAATTTGATTTAATTACTGAAAAAATATTTATTTGTTATATGATTTTGATTAATTTACACTTAAAAATTTAATTAATTCATAATACAACATTATTTTAAAACAATACAAGCATATACAATAAATTTAAATATAAAAAAATACATAATACATAAACTGTTGTTAATGGGATACTTGAGCTTGAGCTTTTGAAATGATTGTTTCCATATTAGGTTTTATATTAGAGACTGCAACTCTTAGATCTGATTCTAAGTTTAATTTTGTCCGATATTTGTTTTTTATAACTGTAAGAGCTGAAAACGCCGTTTCACAAAGGTAAGTGGTTGCAAATGGCAGAAGTGTTGATACAGCTACTTTGGACAATTCTGGGTATTCTGATTTTATAGAAATCCAAAATTTATCACTTGTAGTTTCATTAAATTTTATACGCAGATTTTCATCGGCAGATAACTCAATTAATTCCTCGTTCATAACTAAACTTAATTCAGAATTCATTTCATTTATATTAATAGAAAATGGATTTCTTATCCATCCCAACTTTTTTTCTGGAAACTTTTCAAACCGTGTGTTAAAATGGTTTTTCAAATTTTCGAGATGAAGTAATATTATGTCTTTTATTTTTTTAATATCAAATATTTCATTGTCAGCAATAAATTCTGAAAAACATGAAAACATTTCGAAGTTTTCATTATTAATATAATATTTATCCATAAACTTATTTTTTTTTTGAAAGCATCGATTTTATCGGAGAGAATTAATATATTTGTATTTTTACCTTGAAGACTTAAATTTAAATTATTTAATTTTTCAAAAATATCGGCAAGGTAACTTAAAATTGCTAACCATTCTTCATTTAAGAAGTGTTCTGCGAGTGTATTTTTATGTTCAAGGAGAAATATTCGTATTTCATCTTTAAGCTCAACAATTCTTAATAATATTTTACCACGGGATAACCACCTAACTTCAGTATGAAGTAGTAGTTTTGTATGATCAGATCCCATTTCATTACATAGTATCGTAAATAATCTAGAATTTAATGATTTTGATTTTATAAAGTTAATTACACGTATAGCATCTTGTAGTACTTCGTTGACAAATGGTTCAAGTTTTTTAGATGCTAAAGCTTCCCTATGAATCATACAATGAGTAAATAGTATATTTGGTGAAATTTCGTTAACTTTAGCTCTAAAACCTTTCTTTGATCCAGTAAGTGCTGCTACCCCATCTGTACAAATGGGCTTACACATTGACCACGAAATTTCATTATTTTCAAAAAATGCATTAATAAGGGTAAATATGTCATTACCAGTGGTCCTGCCATTTAAAGTTTGACAAAATAAAAAGTCTTCTAAAATGTCTTCTTTGTAAATATACCTGACATAGACAAGAAGTTGAGAAAAGTTAGAGATATCTGTAGATTCGTCCAGTTGCATTGCAAAATAATTACTTCGCAATCTATTTAAAAGTTGTTTTAATATATCATCAGATATGTTTGAAATCCGACGTGATACAGTATTATCAGATAATGGAATTGATTTTAAATCATTTGCATATGCCTCACCGTGCATAGCCGTTACAATTTTTATAGCAGCTGGCAAGACAAGAGATTCGCCAATCGAATGCGGTTTTTTTGTTTTTGCTATTAAGTATGAAACCTCGAATGATGCAACTAAAGCTTTTTGTGAAACTGTAGAAAATTTATTTATAACTTTTTTTTGAACCTTTAATGCATTTTCATGTCTTTTAAAAAATTGTTCATCTTTATTACTATATTGCGGATGTTTCGTTTCTAAATGTCGTTTAAGTTTAGAGGGTTTCATACTTTCGGAAGCCAATATTTCTAAACATATAACACACTTAGGACGATGCTTACCTTTTTCTTCAATAAAAGTAAATCCAAATTGTATATACTGATCTTGATATTTACGTTCTTTTTTTTGGTTCTCAACATTTAAAGTTTTTTTTTCTTCCAATTCCTCGTTGATAGGCTGGTCCGTTATTGTTTCCGACAGTTTACGTTTTTTATTTTCACTTGCACTTGCACTTGTACTTGCGCGTTTAATTAAAAATTTTTCCATTTTAAAACAGTTTTTTGTAACGTACTTTATATCGCGTGAGATACATGTACTGCACGAATGACACCTAAGTAGGAACTGATTATTATAAATATTTGCGACTGAAATTGTTCAAATATACCTATGTATACGATACGAGTTACGAACAATTTAATAATCCATATCCGCTATCGATAAGATAATAAATAAGAAATTAAGATTATACGCTCCTCAGCATGTTCTATAATCTATAATTCTCTATATAAACAAAATTAAAAATTAACTTTATTTTATTTTTAAATAAAATGGAAAAATCATTTCATCTATTATTTTTGGCGACCCCCAGGTTGAAAACCACTGGTGTAGTGTATAGCACCAACGTTATGTCATACATTGAAGTGTAGCAGTGTATATTGTATATAATTTTCCATATACCTACCAAGTATCTTAATACTTGTAAGAGAAATAAATCTGTATCCGTAACTGAATATGAACAAAATAAAATAAACTTTTAATTTGTGACCGAACGTTGTTAATATAATATTTAGGCAATAATGTGTTGTGATTGCGAATAATAATTTATGTTTTTCTAGTTATTACTCATTAAAGTAAGCTACTTTGTAACTAATTGAAAATGTATGAATGCAAGCAAAATAAAACATGTATAAATGAATAGTGTAATTAATTATTACAATTGGAAATTGGAATAGTGACATGTGTACTCGCTAGCTAACTAAATATTTCAATGTTATGAATTAATGTTAACATGATTTGTCTGTAGTGTAGCGTAATGGAAATGTGGATTGTTCAGTAAAATTAATTAAATATTAAATATATTACTCGAAAGCCTGTGCGAATGGATTGATGCCCCGTAGCAGGCCGTCTTCGAGCACGCTTGGCAATAGACGTTGTGTGGCAGGCAGTAGTTGCTGCTGCTCCCTACGAATCCGGTTTGCCTCGCCGGATTCGACGAAATACAGCTGGCAGAATCTGCGTTGGATAGGTTCGTTCCCGATCAAGTCATTACTTATCGTCCAATATCCCTGCCCATGAACAGTAAACACATTCGGTCCCCGACCTGGCAAGCGCCGTGTGTTGAAGGCGGTGGAGAATGCAGCAAATGCCAAAGTGTTGTTGTACCAGCGGATGTTATTTCGATAGTGTCTACCTTCTACCGAATCTTCAACCAACAACCTCTGTAGTAAATACGGTGCAGGTGTCAACACACGCGGTCCTGAAACGGCCATCAGACCGTTGTTGCAGCATGTAGAAAAATTATTCGGGCTTGTTTCCTCGCACTTAAAGTGGTGGGCCTACAATACCGGCATACGTAATTCAACGCGCCTATGTAGTGTGGTTCCGGTAGTGGGTGCTGAACGCCAGCTGGACGGTCTAGCAATAGTCTAGAGACAACCGGGGCGATTTGTTCAACCTGAAATTTAAAAGACACTGTTGTATATTATTTTTTTCCTTTATGAACATTAAATGAATAATATAATTTATACAAAATATATACTGACCTCTTGAATGTCGTACAGTGGTGAAAGGTCGAAAACACCAACAAAGTTATCATCGTCTGATACTTGTTCGTCTCCGTTCACGATAACTATTTCAACGTTGTCGTCTTCCATCGCTACTTCGTCTGCCTCAACGTTGTCATTGTCTATCATGACTTCAACTACCTCAACGTTGTCATTGTCCATCATGACTTCAACTACCTCAACGTTGTCATTGTCCATCATGAATTCAACTACCTCAATGCTGTCTTCCAACAAAAGTTCATCCCTCGGAACTTGTACACCGGCATCGACGTTTTCCACATGATCTTCTCGTTCTCTGTATGGTCCGACTACCTATAGAATCATAGACGGTTAATTTAAATCTTTTATAAGAACGGTTCATTCTAGACTGAACCAAATATACAGTAGTGTATTTCTTGTGAAACAATAACATGGTAATAATATTTTATTTTCTATTCGCTTCCAATGCACAATATAGTTATTAAATCATTAACTTTGATGTCAATTAAAAGTGTAATACAATGTAATCAAAAAATGTTGTAGTTTGTAGAATGTACCAAACCATACATGCCCCAATTTATTAATTGATTTTATATGTAAAAAAATGGTATTGCAGTTTATAAATATTAAGGTTGAGGTGTAACAAAAAAAAAAAAGAAATTTGTTAAGTAACATAAGGTTTGTGGTGACAAATAATTGTTGTGTCATATAACACCGTGTCATCATGCGTATATTGTATCGTTGAGTTTAGTTTAATGTAATATATATTAAAAATTCAGTATGGAACAGAGAACGGCGTCGCGCATGCTCCTGACTGTAGTCAAGGCCAGGAACAAAATGCCTCGAATACAACGTAGAGGTTAGGTTTACAGGAAAACCTTGGTTCAGCACGAATTCCACCCACTGAAGACGACGTTCGTCAGTTGGAAATCTAATTATGGATGTGATTTATAACATGTCACATTATTGTTATGTGAAATTGTAAATACCTGTGCACCGAAACGTTATTGTCACCATCCACGTTTCCACAGATCACACATCATTTCACCATCGTGAATAGCCTGGAACGCATCGTATAATAGTTTAAAGATTAAAGATTTATAATAATATAATGTACACAACAATATACAAAATTATTATAACGAAAGTATTGAAAGCATTTTGAAATGATGATCGTATCGTTATGTTATCAGTAATGATTAAGCAACTTGTGTTATTTTTAGAATTGATATAGTTTGTACATTGTTCTAAGGTTTGTACTTTGTACATACCTTTTGTATATTATACATGAAAAATGGAAAAATACGAAAAACGACATACCGAGCTCGAAGAATGTTAAAGGCACAAAATAAAATTGAATGAATATATACGCAATGTTAACGCAAATACTTAAGATACGGACGGCCTCAGTGGAACGGCTGACGTGACTGAGTCCGATTACGAATATGGATATAAAAAACGTTATATTCGATTTGTATACGCTGTTTATGGGGAAAAAGAAACATGTAACGCGCCATGGTCACAATGTTATGTACAATGTTTGAAGTGTGTATAGAAGCGGCCGTTAACGATAAGCGCTACCATGAGTAGGTACCTACATGTTATGTAATGGATGTACAAACGCACGGGATAGGTACTAATGCTAATTTTATTATGTCTGTCAAAATTGTACTCACCGGTATCAAAAATCGCCTGATCCAAAACCAAAAATACGTTAGAAATAAAGCACTTGTTAGGAGTCTAGAAATATTAAAATGTGCAAAAGAATCACCAATGTTCCTGTGCATTTACAAACGTCTCCTTCGAACGTTAGCCGTAGCCTGACGTTGGATAACATAGTACGGTTCCGCGAGCTTAGTTACCCTCTCCATTCCACCGCCGAGCCATAAATTTTAACTAATGAAGGTCCAAAAGGCATTTAATGTTACGGACAGACGGTAATAAAAGATACGGAATGCAAATTTATATATATAACAATCATGGAAATTTTGAAAAATGTGGAAGAAATGTAGGATATCTTACGTCTAATAATTACTATACATATTAATAATAAAGAAGAACATACAGGAAAGGTAAATGTATGATAATAATTTTTATGTAATAAGAAAGAGAAAAGATCGGAAATTTTAAAAATTATGTAAAAAAAATCGAAAAAAAAGTCGAGATTTGGGCGGCCGTGTAAACCATACGGGACAGACCGTCTCGACGCCCGGACAGCGTACAACGGGTTCGAACCCGGGACCTACGTGATTTCTACCTAACGCCTAACCTACTCGGACACAATTTGAGATATCAATTACGGTCAAAACATCAACACTTAAGCCGTGCGTCTACGGAGCGACGTAAACCGATATATTCGATGTACATCGATGTAATCGCGTATAATTCGCTTGTAATACGCGCATCTCCCATATATATATTTAACGGGGCGTGTGAAAAGCGTTTTCCGTTAATAATTATTAAATCATAGGGAAAAATTAAATTATAGACGTATATACATGTATATATACGCGTACGATCGGCCCGTCGCTTACGTAATTTCTAAACCCGCACCGATTTCGAGGGAAAAGCGAGTTAACTACACGATACAGGCACGAACGGCGTGCGAAAGGACGAAACGGTGGGAGAAAACAAAAAGAAATGGGCAAAAAGTCCGGCCGGGAGCGTATTTTTGATCGATATTGCGACCGCTTCGGACGGCGCACGAATATAAACTGCACACGGGTGGTTTCAAGAGCTAAGCGAATCATTAAGGGCGAAAAGGCTCGAAAATGATCGAAATCGTATAAAAACATCTAATTTTCCGAAAATTTCAAAAATCGGCCGCTACGTTTTAAAACCGACCGCCGCCGCTGCGAAGGTACGCGATTGGTCGCGCTATAAGGAATCGACGGGACACGGCCGGCAGGCTGCGGAAACGGAGCGGTGCTTCATTTTTTACGCCACAGTTTCACTATAGCCTGCGTTTTCCGTTCCACAGGTTGCTTGTAGACAGCTGTTCTCGGAGTCAGCTGTTCTTCATTCTATAGTATTAGATGGTTTCCCTTTTTTGGACTGCTGAAATCGAAGGATGGTTACTTCCTTGTCGGCATACATTTTCTAATGTAGTATCTGTTCTCCATGTACCTTGTCGACATCATCATCATCATCATCATCATCATCATCATCATCATCATCATAACTGGCTTTTATAACTCTATTAGAGTTTTTGCCGCCAACACTATGTCCCTCCATTTCTCTCGATCTTGTATAATTTCCTTCCATTCTTTTACTCCCACAGATTTAAGATCCTCTTCTATTATGTCAAGCCATCTCTTCCTTGGTCTGCCTCGGGGTCTCTTCCCTTCTGGTTGCCATTCTATCACTGCCCTTATGGTTTCTTCTTCGCTTCTAACCATTATGTGCCCAAACCACTGTAATCTTTGTCCCTTTATTTAGCTAGTGACTGGTGCTAGGCCCAGTTCTTCCTGTAATTCCTGATTAAACTTTCTTCTTCAATCATTT